TGCATTCATTTGATTATATAATTTCAGTCTTATTTTACCATAGTGAATAAGCATTGATGTGCCCAAACCTTTGACTACTAGAGCATCTGTATTTTCTTTACAATTATTTACAATCTCTCCCCATTACAGTATACCGATATACAGTATGGAATCAAGTGTTATTTCAGCTTATGCAAGTCAAATTTGATTCAGTTTCCAAATGGCATTGTGATAAACAGAACAGGATGCTGAATCACTAAGTCATTTGTGATTGTGAATACTAATTTAATCCCCTTTAGACTTAATGAATTGATTCTGAATCAGTGGTTTTAAATCTTCCTCGTTCTAGTTTCTGGAATTCGCTGTGCTTGAGGGTTTGCACTGGTGTGTCTGGATAAAAGTTTAACTGTACAGGTGTATTTTCTGATATAAAAACAACCCGAGACTGGGGTTCCTTATCATTTGTGCCGATAACTGTGAGATCACATTATTTTCCTCTTTATCACAACGTTATTTGGAGACTTTGCACTCATACAGATGATTTTTAAAGCTGAAGTGTGCCATTTTCAACCATGGGGAAAGCCATGGTGTGACACTTTTCAGGGAAATCAACATACAAATAACTCTTACCATTGACTCTATATGTTAATCGAGGATAGGAAAATTAATGGCTATTTAAGAAATGTGTACAAATTAGGTTAACGTGAACTGTTAACAATGAAAATTACTTGTGAAGCATTTATTAATCTTATTTAATGTCAATATAGACTTATTTTTGAACTTAATTTTTGTTTTTAGAAGACATGCTTAAAACATGCTAGCATGTTACAAACATATTAAAACATGCTTTTAAAAACTAGTTGACATTTAAAACATGCTTAAGTGTTAAATCATCTTATCATTAGTGTGCTAAAAACATTAGCATTGATCTAAAACATTAGACATGTAAAACGTTAACATGTTAATGCATGCAATTCATTGTGTTAACATGTTAGCAATTTGCTAAAACATGTCTAGAAATGTCTTAAGATCCTAGTAGTATGCTGGTTACAAACATGCTAAATCAGGGTAGCAGTTTGCTAAAACGTGTAAGGATCGTCTAAATAACCTAGCAACATGCTAAAACAGGTTATCAGTACATTGAAATATTGTACAAATTTCTTAACGTGTTTGCAACATGCTAAAACAGTTTAAAAACATGTCAAAATAGAACATGTTTAGTGGTTTGCTAAAACATGTTTAGAAATGTCTAAATATCCTAGCTGTGTGCTGGTTTAAAACATGTCAAATCTGGGTAGCAGTTTGCTAAAACATGTTAGCAATTTGTTAACATGTTTGCAAAATGGTAAAACAGTTTTTAAAACATATTAAAATTGAGAAGCGATTTGCTAAACCATATCTAGAAATGTCTAAGAATCCTAGCAGTATGCTGATTACAAACATGCTAAATCTGGGTAGCAGTTTGCTTAAAAATGTTAGAATTGTCTATATAACCTAGCAACATGCTAAAACATAATAGTAATTAGGACATGTTTGAACATGCTAAAACAGTTAAACCATGTTAAAATGGGAAGTGATTTGCTAAAACATGTCAACAAATGTCTAAAGATCCTATCAGTATGCTTGTTACAAACATGTTAAATCAGGGTAGCAGTTTGCAAAACATGTTTTGGTCTAAATAACCTAGCAACATGCTAAAACAGGTTATAAGCACATTGAAACATGGTAGCCATTTGTTAAAACATGTTTGCAACATGCTAAAACATTAAAATAAAGAAGCGATTTGCTAAAACATGTCTAGAAATGTCTAAAGAACATACTGTAGCACTATGCTGGTAGCGAACTGCTAAAACATGTTAGAAATGTCTTAACATCCTAGCAACTTGCCAAAACAGTTTCCCAAAATGGTAAACATGTAAGCAATGTGTTAAATCATTAGAAACGTAGCATGTTAGCCGTTTATGATAGAAGAGATGTCCTTAAAAAAACTTAAAACAGCAATGTTAAAACATGCAGTTAACATATTCAAACATGTTAACAAGTGATAAAAACAAAAACTTAATATGTCTGACACGGCTTGCTAGCAGCAGAATGTGTTAGCATATAACCAAAACATGATAGAAACATGCTAACAAAACACTAAAATGTGATCGTTTTGATTTGAATGACATGCCTAAAATTTATATTGTGCATTTGTTATTATTATTAGTAAATCATTAAATAGAGAAGTCGGGGTTGCAATTTGCTAAAACATGTTAGAATGGTCTAAATAACCTAGCAACATGCTAAAACAGGTTATAAGCACATTGAAACACGGTAGCCATTTGTTAAAACATGTTTGCAACATGCTAAAACATGTTAAAATAAAGAAGCGATTTGCTAAAACATGTCTAGAAATGTCTAAAGAACATACTGTAGCACTATGCTGGTAGCGAACTGCTAAAACATGTTAGAAATGTCTTAACATCCTAGCAACTTGCCAAAACAGTTTCCCAAAATGGTAAACAAGCAATGTGTTAAATCATTAGAAACGTAGCAAGTAAGCCGTTTATGATAGAAGAGATGTCCTTAAAAAAAACTTAAAACAGCAATGTTAAAACATGCAGTTAACATATTCAAACATGTTAACAAGTGATAAAAACAGAAACTTAATATGTCTGATACCGCTTGCTAGCAGCAGAATGTGTTAGCATATACCCAAAACATGATAGAAACATGCTAGCAAAATACTAAAATGTGATCGTTTTGATTTGAATGACATGCCTAAAATATATATTGTGTATTTGCTATTATTATTATTATTTCCAGACCTGAGATAATATGGTTTAACAATGGCGTTTTTTAATAACTAACTAAGATTAATAAATGCTATAACAGGTGTGTTCATTGTTAGTTATTAACAAAAAAATATGAGTTTTCTGTTAAGTGTTACCAAGAAATGACACGCACCACTTTTATATGGTCCATTGAATGGGATCTGGCCTTTTTTATCTCATTGAGAACACATTAAACAGGCAGATTCAGTCCTCTGTCAGCTCCATGCTAATGCTAATGTTTTCCTCACTCATCTGAACGGCCTTACTAGCGCTGGACATGTTTCTCAGTTGTTTTGCCTGTCCTCATTCAAACAGCAAGGCCTTTGACTGAAATGCCAAACGGAGAGCTTGCATGTTTACCTGCTGTGTGAGTGTGTGTTTGTGTGTGTGTGTGTGTGTGTGTGTGTGTGTGTGTGTGTGTGTGTGTGTGTGTGTGTGTGTGTACATGTTTTTGTGACATATCAGGACACAAATCTGTATAATGACATGGGTATGACACAGGTATTACAAAAAGGAGGTGAAATGTGAGGACATTGGTGACGTCCTCATTTCTCAAAATGTTTATAAATCCCACAGGATGAGTTTAATCAGAGAGTAAAGCTGCACACAGTCTCCTGTGATGGTTGGGTTTAGGGGTGTTGTAGGGCGAGGTCAATACAATATACGGTTTGGACAGTATAAAATGAATGGAAACCTATGTAATGTCCCCACTTTTCACAAAAACAAACGTGTGTGTGTGTGCGTGTGTGTGTGTGTGTGTGTGTGTGTGTGAATGAGTGTGGATGTTTTCTAATAGACCTATAAGGGCTTCCGCTGTATAAAACGTATGCCGGATAAGTTGTCGGTTCATTCCGCTGTGGTGATTCTTGATGAATAAAGGGACTAGGCCAAAGGAAGATGAATTACTGAATGGATGAATAAAACATCATTTTAAAATATATTATTTTGTGTTCAACAAGAAGAAAATAAATTCATCAAGTTTTGGTATCTTAAAAGGATAATGATGCAATTATTATTCAAATTTATTTGGTTATTTTGATATTATTATTAGGGTATTTGATCATGTACTTGATATATTTCAGTCTTTTTTTAATATAGGGGTTTATAATTGAATAACAAATTTGTTTTGCTCGTGTTTCACAGGAAATGTTACTATTATAAGTGGGAATTTGCATGGTCTCCCCAAGTTGGCGTGGGTTTCCTCTGGGTGCTTCGGTTTCCCCACAGTCCAAACACATGCCTATAGGGGAATTGATGAACTAAATTGGCCATAGTGTATGTGTGAATGAGTGTGTATGGGTGTTTCCCAGTATTGGGTTGCAGCTGGAAGAGCACTTGCTGTGTAAAACATGCTGAAATAGTAGGATGTTCATTCCACTGTGGGGACCTCTGAAATAGAGACTAAGCTGAATCAATGACAATGACTCGAACATACTTTAAAATATATTATTTTGTGTTCAACAGGAAGAAAATAAATTCATTAAGTTTTGCCCTAATTGCAAAATGATGCAATTATCTTTTGTTTTTAAATTGTTTTTTTATATCATTATTATTATCATATTTAGGTTTTTTTTTAATATAGGTGTTTGTAATTAAATAACAATTATAATAAATTATAACAAAATGCTTATGTTTCAGGGAAAATATGACAATAAATTAATATCATAAGTTGGGAAAAGTATATATATATGTGTGTGCGTCCTTTTGCCTATTTGAAATATGAAAAGCTTAGATGCAAAAACCTGCATCAAATTAAAAAAATCCTTTAAAATGTTTTTCTTAGCCTACTATGTTTGTGTTCAGTTATTTTACTTTAAATGCAATGACAATAACCGATTCTTTACACAGAGTGAAATGACTGAAAATACACACAACAACCTGAGAAAAATGCTCTTTTTAGATGAAAATCTCTGAGGCATTTAAGCGTTTTTTTTGCATCTAAACTCTTCATATATTGCTATATTTTTTTTTAGATAAATTCGATTAAATGATTAATAACAATAATGACAACAATAACTGTTCATCCTTGACTTCACCTAATCGTCATGGCAACAGCAAGTGAAAGAGTTTTTAAATTTACAAGGAAAATAAAAAAAAATACATTTCCCAGAAATCACCGCGCGACGACGACTGGGTTCCTATTGGTTGTCTGAGCCCGTCGTCATCAGCGTGCTGTTAGACATGACGCCTGCGCTCCCGACGCTCCTCAGAGCTCCGCGATGCGCATCTCCCCGCCGGTTCTCCCTGTGTTTGCAGTCCGTTCAGCGTCGGTTTGCGGATCCGCCGTCCGTCCATGAGAAGTGCAGCGGCGGCGCTGTCGGTGTGTGTGCTCGCGGTGTTGCTCCACTGGATTTGCTGGACGGACAGAAGCGCGGAGCTGCTGGGTTTCAGAGCTGCAGGTACAAACCGCTCAACTTCACACTGGGGTAACGTTATAAAGTTCCTTGTATATTCTCTGGGGTCATTTTAAGGCTTAATTTAGCTACAACTTTCTCCATGTTTCAGCAAATGATATCATTTTTTGTTGAAACTATTATTTTGACACATATTTTGGGAAAACACTTTGAAATTAAAAAAAAAAAACTCAACAATAGAGTTTGCGCAAATTCACTCCCCTTTCGTTATGTTGGGGGCTGTTTTTGCCCCATTGACTATTGAGCTAAAGTAGGTTTTTTACTCGCTCTTTCATTCAGTGACAACTTGTGACATGCTCCCAGTATTGTTTACCATGGTACTTTGCAAAGAATACTTTTCTGAAATTATATTATTAAGGAGAAAGTCCAAATCTGTGAATTAAGCACCAACTTTACTTCAGTCTTTTGACTTCTATTATAATGACAGTTTTGATTACAAAGCAATGACAGCATATTATTTTGTGTTCTTGATTGTTGCTGGTTTTCCCTGTTGGGAAGAGGGACAATTTGTAATTTTTACTGTTGATCATCAGTTGCAGTTGCAAAGTAAGCTTAGTTTCTGTCTTTTATATGGAGTATAGCTAGGGCTTGACAATAATTCCATATCAATATATATCGCAATCGATTTTTTTTCAGTAACGGTGAAATGATTTTTAAACCCATTTCCGGTATTTCGATATAAATTTGCATATATATATATATATATATAAATATATAATCATATATAAGATCTTATACGTTGTTTCTTTTGTCACTGAATGACTTTCAGTGCTCAGCCGTCAGAAAGAGCGTGATGCCACTTGCGTGATGACGTACATCACAGACACGCTGCCAGCGTGTTAGTTAAATTAGAGCTGCATGATTCTGGCTAAAATGAGAATCGCGATTTTTTTTTTTTTTTTTGTGCCTAAAATAAAGATCACGATTTTCTCATGATTCTGTAGATATAAAATAAAGGTTAATATGAGTGGGCTATAGAGCTGCACAATTAATCGAAAAAAGATCGCGACCTCGATTCGACCCCCTAGACGATCTTAATCCAGCATTTCTGCGATTCTGTCAATCATATTTTCAAGTTCAGGAGAGAAGAAAAGGCGGCTGCACGAGTCTTTTTATTGTTTCACAAACGATGCTCAGTGAAATTGACACCTCCAAATGATGTTGAATGCGTCACATACTGTATTTATAAGGTATAATTCACCTAAAAAAATGTCATTTTTGTCGTCATATAATGATGTTTTAATGGCCGGGAAATCACACGTGACGTGAGCTGCTGACCGTGAGCTGTTATCACAGAGAGGGCGTGCGCGCCCTACTTAATGATAGATGTGCGCTTTTACTTTAGTGAACAGAACCTGCATATGTTGCGAGTAACAGGTAATACAGTTGTAAATAATATTCAGTTTGTGGCACCGAGTGATCGTTTGGGAGCCGCGCGCGAAGTATGAACAAGCACTTAGCAGTCAAAATGAAACCGAAAGTGTGCTGTTCATTTAAATGATCATATCGCATTTTAGAGTTATGATTACCACAAGCATTTGATATGTTTTCTTTCATAGCGAACAGAGTTGGGCATGAAAATAAATGTTTACAGTGTCAGTATAACTACTCTAGCCTATATATTGTTAAATATAATCTGATAATGGCAAATGTCTGATTTCACCAGTGAATAAAATTGTCTAATAATGTTGTCAATGACAGATTGCAATCTCAAACATAAAAATTCAACATCAGAATTATTATAAGTAAAATAGGATTATTTATAGAAACCAGTAGACCTACACATAATATTATTATCGATGTTGTGCTATATGTTTGTTTTTACCATACCTTTATTTTACATCTACAGAATCGTGAGAAAATCGTGATCTTTATTTTAAGCAAAAAAATCGCGATTCTCATTTTAGCCAGAATCGTGCAGCTCTAGTGGGCTACTATTATTGAAGTAATAATACTGAACTGAGCTAAACTGAACTGAACTTAAACACTAAAAACTGAACGACCATGATCCAGTTACTATGACCATTTATGTGAAGCTGCTTTGACACAATCTACATTGTAAAAGCGCTATACAAATAAAGCTGAATTGAATTGAATTGAATTGTTATTCTCAAATGTGGTAAAACAGCAATAGGCTTTGTGTAGCTGTACTGTTGGTTAAAATGCTAAATGTTGTATAGACTTGGAATGGAGGACTTGAACAGACTTTAGATGTGTCCTGGTCATTAATGCTGATAATTCTGATGTTGAAATATTGTGTTTGAGACATTTGCTTACAATCTGTCATTTTCTGCCTAAAATCTTTTACTGACGTGATTTTCGTGAATACAGAAGACTGGGTGGGTATTTTTGCATTTCGGTGGGTTTTGGATACTTTTTGGGCTGGCTTCAGTCAGCTACATTTGGAACACTGTGCACTTTCGGTTTCATTTTCACTGCTAAGCGGTTCACTTCCCGCGCGGCTCCCAAACGATCACTCTGTGCCACAAACTAAATGTTATTTACAACTTTATTACCTGTTCTTCACAGCCTATGATGGTTCTGTTCATTAAAGTAGACTTCATTAGTTCATTCAGAGGCGCGCGGCTCCCGCCCTCTCTGTGGTAACAGCTGACGGTCAGCTCACGTCACGCGTGGTTTTGCGGTCGCAAATACATTACATGAAGACAGAAATGACATTTTTAGGTGAATTGTATCTTATAAATACTGCATGTGACTCTTCCAACACCATTTGGAGGTGTCTACGTTGCTAAACAACGTATGTAAAATAATGTGAAGACTAGTGCGGCCACTTTTGCTTAAAAATATGATTGACAGAATCGTAGAAATGCTGATTAAGATCGTCTAGGGGGTCGAATCGAGATTGCGATCTTTTTACGGTTAATTGTGGAGCTCTAAGTTAAATAAGCTCCGTCACAGAAAGTTTTAGCTACAAAAGGAGTGCGGCAAATTCGTTGATGAGAGAGGAAAGACTAATGCAGTGGTGTGGAAGTGGTTCGGCTTTTTAAGTTCTGATAAACGTATAGTTTCGGTGCTCTGCAAAATGTGCAGGAGAGTGGTGCCGACTAGCAGCGGGAACACATCAAATCTGTTCCATCGCATAAAACCTGTCGCCTCACCAAACCAGCGTTGTCAGAAGAGAAGGCAATGAAGCTACACAGATGGCTATGAGGCGCCGTGTAGGATTTAAATCAAACTTCGCTTATCAACATGTGCATATACACCTATAAATTACTTGCATATAAAACTGTTCAAAACATGTATGAAACTTGTGCATTTATTCATACATGTTCTTTTCAGCTTAGTCCCTTTATTAATCTGAGGTCGCCACAGCGGAATGAACCGCCAACTTATCTAGCATATGTTTTACGCAGCGGATGCCCTTCCAGCTGCAACCCATCACTGGAAAACATCCATTCACACTCATTCACACTCATACACTACGGACAATTTAGCCTACCCAATTTAACTGTATCAAATGTCATTGGACTTGTGGCTAAAACCGGAGCACCTGGAGGAAACTCACGCCAGCATGGGGAGAACATGCAAACTCCACACAGAAATGACATGCAAACTCCACACAGCTGAGGCTCAAACTAGCGACCTTCTTGCTGTGAGTAGTGGTGGGCAAAGCGAGGCTTCATGAAACACTGAAACAGTCGAAGCAAATGTGTCGAAGCTTCGAAACGTTTCGAAACTCCATTCTACAGTGACATCTAGTGGTCATTTTTTATGTATTGCACTGAAACAGCTTCAGCAAAGAACAGTTGAACAAATTGAGGCATTAAACCCCACTTTGTATGCTTGGTCCTTCAAGTAATTTAGTACAGGGGACTAGGTATCAGACTTCCATGTGGGGATAGTAGGTTTGGAGCCAGCCTGATTCAGTTGTTTTGAAATGCTTTAATACCAGGGGTCCGTTCTTCGTACGTGGATTACTCCGTAAGCTGGATTTGGATATTGACGATTTGACAAGATCCAGGATCGTTTCGTTCTTCAAAGCTGATCTGAGAGTTGTTGTCATGGCAACAGTTCTGCTAGGTCAAACCTGATCGGGAGCAGGTTCAATTCATATAAACAGGATTAGATCGGCTCAGTTCAAGCAAAGATAATACAGAAAGTATGTTCTGAATTCTGATTTTTTCTTACAGTAGTGGTTCTATACACTTGGGAAAATTGTACATATTTTTTAACTATATATATAAAGTTATAGTTATTAATAAAATAAATAAAGTTATACATATTAATAAAACGTATGCAATCTGCACCCTCGAAATTAAAGTACAAAGACAAAACTTATTGATATGAACTTTTTAGATCGCTTCAGTACATATTGTGTATAATAGAAATGCACAATATGTGACTTTTTTTAAAGCAATAATACATTTATGCAGTCATAAACATGTTTTGTTAATATGCCAGTGATGCTTCACAAAAGTTGCAGACGCCTTTACCAATATGAAAATGCTTTTGTAAACAACCAGTTATTCTTTACACCGATTAAAAAACGGCTACTATTATAAAGAAAATCTTTTCTAAATGTAGAACTAAATACATTGATTTGCATTGAAATACATGATGAATACTCTTGTCTTGACAAATGAAAGTGTAAAGCCTGCAGCTCACAACAAATGTGGAAAGTTCTTGCGTGTCATATTTAACAAGCCGTTTACTGCTAATTTGATGTAATTTTGCTCACATGGATAATTGAATATTAATCAGATGATGTCATTACGCTGCTGTGCCGTCAGCCAATCGTTGCATTGCTGATCATGATTTCGAGGATCGATAGATCTGTCCTTCACAACACACGCAGCGATCTCAGATCAGTTCATCCAGACATTCTAATCTGATTCACGAACTTGTTTGAAGACCCAAATTAGCGAGAGATCAGTTATCAAGATTAAAAGATCCAGGATCTGCCAAATAATCTCAGATCATTTAAGCGAGGTACGAAGAACGGACCCCAGTTGGTAATGCTTTGCTTTTGTATCGTTTTGTTTCAACATTGGTCTGATATCCGAATAAACAATTTGTGAATAAATATGTCTTGCTTTGGTCTTAAAACAGGGTTGTTGCTAGATCAGAAACGGTGGCCTGAAGTTATCAAGAATTATTTATATTATTCGTTAAATTTCATTAAATTCATTAAATTTCCCATTTATGGTATTTTATTAACCCTAAACCCAACCATACTGTAAAATATTAATTATTGTTTTACAGTGTTACAAAAATGATGCTAAATTGATGGAGTAACTGCAGCTGTATCCTATTTAGGCTACACAAAACAGAAAAATGATTAAAATACATAAAACCATATTTGTACAAGTCGGGATTCGAACCGAAAACGTCATGCAAAGCATAGATACAGCATGTACACGCACAGTCCTCTAGGCCAATTTTTTTTAACCTTGGCAGCCAAATCCAGACCCGCCAGGTCTCGAAACGCTTCTAAGCTGATCGACGCTTTGAATCGCTTTAGTCACGTGACTAGGTGTTTCGAAACACTTTAGTCACGTGACTTGGGTGCTTCGGATCATGTCGAAACGTCAGTTTCACGTCAGCCATCCCTAGCTGTGAGGTGGGTGCTACCCACTGTATTATGTATTATGGTATTATGTATTATTAAGTATTTTGGAGCTGTAATGCACTCAAAACCTACCGGAACTACTTTAGCTGTGTGTCAGCCAATCAGAATGGAATATTCTAAAGTCTCGTATAACATAGTCCCGTATATTGCACAGCCCTAATCTGAACATGAAGTCAGTTTGTGTGTAGAAAGTGTCGGAGTTCATGCCGAGCCTCACCTGGTGACAAAGGCACAGATGCACATTATACACTTGCTCTGATGTTTTCACACATGGTCAAACAGGACACAAGTGACGATCCATTAGGGCTCACAAAGGGCCAGAGACTTTCATCTCGCTGCATCATCTGCTCTGCGTTTCAGTCTGCGTGAGAACAGAGGTCAGAGGGTATCATGAATTAATTTAGGTATTGTATCAAAAGTATAGAGAGAGAAAGCAGGAAACAAGAAGACACCTGTCCGATTGCTTGTTAATGCAAATTTCTAATTAGCCAATCGCATGGCAGCAACTCGATGCATTTAGGCATGTAGACATGGTCAAGACGATCTGCTGCAGTTCAAAGCGAGCATCAGAATGGGAAAGAATTTAAGTGACTTTGAAAATGGCGTGGTTGTTGGTGCCAGACAAGCTGGTCTGAGTATTTCAGAAACTGCTGATCTACTGGGATTTTCACGCACAACCATCTCTAGGGTTTACGGAGAATGCCTTCTTGATGTCAGAGGAGAATGGGCAGACTGGTTCCAGCTGATAGAAAGGCAACAGTAATTCAAATAAGCACTCGTTACAACCGAGCTCTGCAGAACAACACAAGAGTCACGTCCAACATTGAGGCGGATGGGCTACAGCAGCAGAAGACCACACCGGGTGCCACTCCTGTCAGCTAAGAACAGGAAACTGAGGCTACAATTCACACAGACTCACCAAAACTGGACAATAGAAGATTGGAGAAACGTTGCCTGCTCTGATGAGTCTCCATTTGTGCTGACACATTCAGATGCTCGGGTCAGAGTTTGGCCTCAACAACATGAAAGCATGGATCCATCCTGCCTTGTATCAGCTGTTTGCTGGTGGTGGTGGTGTAATGGTGTGGGGGATGTTTTCTTGGTACACTTTGAGCCCATTAGTACCAACTGAGCATCATGTCAACGCCACAGCCTACCTGAGTATTCCTGCTGACCATGTCTATCCCTTTATGACCACAGTGTCTCCATCAAGTGTGCCGCAAGCCTGCGTTTGAGTGAAGGTCTCGGCCGTTAGATCGCCCCCTGGGGGCTGGCTGCAGTACAATTCATAAAGCCAGCCTCCTCCGTGTTAATGAAGGAGACTTGAGCCCAAATAAAAAAAATTATTACACTTGCAATAAAATGTCCCGAAAGGTGGTTCTGGTCGATTAAGGCACTGATTGTTGTGCTGAAATAGGTGCAGATCTTCATTTTTGTAAACAGTTTGTTTTTAGCAGTAATTTAATGCTGGGCGTGTCATCGTGATTGACAGCTGTGATTTACAGTTTCTCAAAGCAGCGCATCTGAGCTTCGGCAAGAAACTGAAGTGTCATTATTCGATTTCTGTGTTATTTTACTGTGATAAAATGAGTTCAGCAGTAAACTATAGTTTCTGACATACATGATCTGGTGGAACACTGTTTATTCGCTAAGGTCAGGGCTTTTTCGGGCTTTATTAGTTTGCTGATACATGCCTAACCACCCAGATAGCAAAACACACTCAGGCCGGTTCCGGCTAGATTCTCGCCTGCCGGAGACTTACCCCTCAGAGCTCAGACTGACTACCTGTGCTGAACCTACTCCGGATGCCTGGACTCACTGCCCGATTCCAGCCCGAGTCAAACGAGCCAGATGGGGTGGCCGAGCGAGCCGCGCTGCCGCATGCGAGCCGGAATCAGCCCGTGACGCCGCGAGTACGTTATACGCTGGCGCTGGCGCTGGAGCTGGCGCGATTGAATATATAAAACCCTCATATTTGTTAACGTTATAACATCCATTTGTGTTAAAATGACAGCAAACGCATGCTGAGAAGTTCGGGGGGCGTGGTTGATTTTACATAAACCGTTTGGTTGGAAGCTCGACTCATTTTCGCGGCTCCTCCTCTGGCTCCATCAGACAGTCCTTCTGCGCATGTCAAGGCTCCAATGGGAAAAGGGGCTGTCGTGTCGTCCATATTTTTTACAGTCATTGGTCTACATCTTCTGATGGCTGCTTCCAGCAGGATAACACACCGTGTCATAAAGCGTGAATCATCTCAGACTGGTTTCTTGAACATGACAATGAGTTCACTGTACTCAAATGGCCTCCACAGTCCCCAGAGCTCAATCCAATAGAGCAGCTTTGGGATGTGGTGGAACGGGAGATTGGCATCATGGATGTGCAGCCGACAAATCTGCAGCAACTGTGTGATGCTATCATGTCACTATGGAGCAAAATCTCTGAGGAATATTTCCAGTAGCTTGTTGAATCTACGCCATGAAGGATTAAGGCAGTTCTGAAGGCAAAAGGGGGATATTTAATGCTTTCTACAGCGACCCATTTAGGAGCAAATAAGGTAAAAATACATACAGGCAAATTATAAGACAAGGAAAGTGGTTTTTGATCTGCAAAACCAAAGTACCAAGTTTTTATAATCCACAATAAGGGAGTGTGAGAAGGTTTGAATGGTGTTTGTGTGGCTGTGATTGAATGGCTTTATTTCTCCTTGACAGACAGACCGAAGGCTGATGTGCGAGAGGTGTTGGTGGGTGTTTTATCAGCTCGTCACAATCATGAGCTCCGGCAGGCCATCAGAGACACGTGGCTGGGGTACCTAAAACAGCACCCGCACTTCCAGAACCGGTCAGCACACATGCATGCTTCACTTCTGCTTCATTAAACACACCTGTTCAGTTATTAAAGAGTTATTGACTGCTTGATCTTTAACAAAATACTTAGTTACTGTCCACCACTGCCCAAAGATGTATCATTCCAGGTGAAACTCTCATTAAAAAGTGTCCAGCATGATTTAATGTGTGGATTGCAGTCGAACACTGCTGCTAGTCGATGTTTTGCAGGGTTTTATTGTGAATAAATGAATGCGTGATTGAATGTATGCTGCGTGTGCTCATAACAAGTTTGAAGGCCACAGCGTATTGAATGAACAGAACATAACTTTTATTTCTAAGGGTCAGAGAGTGGGTGGAAAAATAGTAATGAAAAATCTAAAATGTGAAAGTTTTCTGCACAAAAATCTGACATGTATATAACCATATAAAAGTATTATCTAACATTAATATACACTTTATAGATATAGAAATACTCCAAAGGTACCTTTTACTTATTCATGCTATTTTAAGTATATTTGAGATGCTTTTGTTTTTATTTTTACATTTTTTTATTATTATTTGTTATAATGAGTATTATTATATACAGTTGAAGTCAAAATTATTAGCCGCCTTTTGATTTTTTTTTCTCTCTTTTAAATATTTTCCAAATTATTTTTAACAGAGCAAGGAAATTTTCACTGTATGTCTAATAATATTTTTGTTCTTCTACAGAAAGTCTTATTTCTTTTATTTTTTCTACAATGAAGGCAGTTATTTATTTTTTTAAAAAACATTTTTGGGACAAAATTATTAGCCCCTTTAAGCTAATTTTTTTTTTCGATAGTCTACAGAACAAACCATCATTATAGAATAACTTGCCTAATTACCCTTACCTGCCTAGTTCACCTTATTAACCTAGTTAAGCCTTTAAATGTCACTTTAAGCTGTATAGAAGTGTCTTTAAAAATATCAAGTAAAATATTATTTACTGTCTTCATGGAAAAGATAAAATAAATCAGTTATTAGAAATGAGTTATTAAAACTATTATGTTTAGAAATGTGTTGAAACAATCTTCCCTCCGTTAAACAGAAATTGGGGAAAAAAATAAACAGGGGCGCTAATAATTCAGGGCGGCTAATAATTCTGACTTCAACTGTATATATTTTTTACTAAGTTTTATTGAAAGGTTCAGCATTTCGGGGTTTATTTTATTTTAGCCTTTAATGAAAGTTTTATTAATTTTATTAATATTAAAACAATGAGAAATATTGCATTATTTGCTGTGCAAAATATTAAATTCTTATTTTTATTCTTCTTATATTATTGCTATTATGTTAATATTATTATTAATATAACATTTTTTGTATTTTATTGTACCTGCATTTATTTATTTATATATATATATATATACACACACACACACACACACACACACACACACACAACAGTTCTGTCTGGTTCTCTTATCTGATTGGCTGATAGCTGTGAGATATTAAAGTAATATCAGAACTCATACAGCCTCATCATCCTTGTGTATTACTCGACCCACGCAAGTAGCAAGCAGAGGACACTTTACAGTTTGACAAATATTGCAGCTGTTGGACAACATAATGTACTTTTGAGGCTTTTTTAGTCGAGAATGTAGTTGTTTAGATTGCAACTATGCAGTTTATTTATAAGGATAGAGCCTATTTTAAATATTTAGAATTTCGGAGATACAGGGCCCTATCATACACCCGGAGCAAAGCCGGTCTATAGTCCAGCGCAGAGCGTGTTAGTTTTGTGCCTCCTTACACACTGCTTAATACAAACAGGATGTAGAGCAATACGCAAATATCTTTACAAATGAAAAATAATTTAAATATTAGGATATATATATATATATATATATATATATATATATATATATATATATATATATATATTGAAGATAATAAGGATATATATAGGATATAAATATAAAGGATTAAAATAATACAAAACATTATTTTCTAGCCTACATAAATATAAAAGCCACCGCCGCCATGGCATGGGGGCTTTTTTAGTTTATTCATAACATTTTGCTTTTGTATTATTGTTCATTTATTTGTTCGCTGGAAATTAGAACTGAATTTAGAAATAGTTATGAAACAAATCTTTTATAGGCTAATGGTTGTCTGTGTTCAAGAAGTTTCCCAATCTATGAAAGTGAAAGCAAATAATGAGGAGGCTTATCTCTCATTCTTGCGCTGTAGATGCTCTGTTTAACCGTTTTCTTGCTAGTGAAACACTCAGTTTTTCCACTTACAAAGTCCACCATGTAAATAGCGAATGCGCTTATGGCGCGACGCATCTGGCTCTTAAAGGGAATGGGAGATGAGACACTGATTGGTTTATTCTGAAAACACACCTGTAACTCATTAAGAAAATAATCTCAAACCTATTAGACCATCCGCCAGGGCGCAAAGCGGATTTTTCCGTCCTTAAAATAGCAAAAGTAGATTACGACATGACCTTATTGCTTTTGCGCCCTGCGCTTTGCACTTTGCGCATGGATAGTCAAAATAGAGCCCACAGAGTGTCGGCAGCGATGAGTCTGTCAATGAGCAGAGCAAAGACGGTTGACGTTCACCCACAAGGTGGCGACAGAGACCACATAATAAGCCCTTAGAGGAGAAAAACTCAGCCTAATATCTAACTACAGCTGATCAAATCATTATTAAACAGGTGACATTCCAAGTCAATCTCTCTTTTTTTGTATGTTGTAGTGCTGTATTTAAACTACAGTAGTCTGCTAGTGTTTGCTTTGGTTTTTGGGCGGTTAATTATTGTTATCTCTCGATTGAAATCTTTAGAGAATTACTGTAATCTTCCGAGAAATAATGGGAAATCTCAGACTAATGACATTTTATGGTGTTCAGCCGTATAATCTTAAAATGTAAGCAAAATCACCTGTTTTGTCATCACTTTAGACATTACGCTAGAGAATCATTCAAACACTAGCTAAATGAATGAGCAGCGGTTTCTGCTGTGCTGACATCTGCTGCAGATGTGAATGAATGGATGAAGAAAGTAGTTCTTCTAAAAAGAGGATTTTTACTCTCCATACTTGATTTTCTTTTTATATATACAATTATGCTGTCAAACTGTTGTATAAACGCAATATTATACTCGTAGCAGTGCTATATGGCTGTATATCGTCACTGCTGGGACACTAAGGCAGCCGGCCTGCAGCCTTGAGTCAACGCACGCCTTCTACCAGTGCCGATATACAGCCATATCGCACTGCTATGAGTGTGATATTGCATTTATACAACAGTTTGATGGCATAATTGTGTATATAAAAACAAAATCAAACATGAAGAGTCTCAAAAACCCTTTTGTTTGAGGAACTGCTTTCTTCCGCCTTGGATTCAAATCATAAGCTGACAGTTAAACAGCTGAGGAAGCATCTTTTAAACTTTAGATCTGTAGTGTCTGCTTTTTGCTGACTGTATGTGGGTGGAGTAATACACAAAGGGTAAAGAGGCTTTACGGTTGCTTATATTACTTAAATATATCACGGCTATCAGCCAATCAGATTCGAGAACCAGACAGAACTGTTGTATAAATAAATATATATATATATAATATTTTGTATATTTAATAACCATACCCACATGCTTATGAAATACTTTCAGTCTTATGAGAAGATCTGATTTATGTTTTTCCTTTATTTAAAAATGACTGGACACAAAGTATAATATGTGTATAATTGTGTTGTTGAGGGTCCTGGTGAAGTTCATCATCGGGGCTCAGGGCTGCTCGGTGCCGCTGGAGGATCTGGAGGATCAGTATTCCTGCTCTCAGCTGGAGCTCAGTGAAGCCGCAGGTCAGTCAGGATCCTCCGCATCTCTTTCTCTGATCGCAGACGGTTCGCTTTGATAGATCTGCTGCTCTGCGGGACTCTGAACACTGCGCAGTGTGTGTCCTCGCATCATAGTGTGCACTTGGATTCTCTCCTAAATAGTCAGCATGTTTTGCCGTCTCTCAGATTTCAGCAGAACGTCCTGTGAGAACGGTTTGTCTCCATCTTTCATTTTGACAGTTGGAGTTTAAATGTGTTCCTTTTTCTGTGGAGATCAAAGGAGATTCCAATTTGAATTTAAAATGTGAAGTAAGAACAGAAGAATTTAAATTTAGAGTACCAACATTTGGATCAACAGTCCATTATCACAAGACTGTCAAAAGGGGCCAAAAAGATCATGTGCAGCATTTCATGCACAGTTGCGTGCTGCACATGCGCAGAGGGGTTGGCCAGCGGGGAAAAACTTTGTGTTTTATGTGAGGAGGTGAGGTGAAGAGACAAAAAAAGGGGGATTTAAAGACTTGTGAAAATGCAAATGAATTATTTGTGTATTTGTAATTTCTAATACAATAAAATAAATTGGTTATTAAAACTATTATGTTTAGAAATGTGTTGAAAAAAAACATCTTCTCTCTGTTAAACAGAAATTGGGGAAAAAAATAAACAGGGGGGTAATAACTCTGACTTCAACTGTGTGTGTGTGTGCGCGCATTTGTGTGCGAGCGTGTGTGTGTGTGCGTGTGTGTGTGTGTGTATATTTTATATATATATATATATATATTAGTGCTGTCAATCGATTAAAAAATGTAACTAATTAATCGCACCTTTTTTTAAAAAATAATCACGATTAATCGCATTTAAAATACTGAAACTTAAAATTTTGGCTATTTAAATGTAAAATAAATGTAAACGCAAGACAAAAACTATTTAAATTCAAAATATAATTGTTTAATAGAATTTTTGTTTAACTTGTAACACAGATTTCTTCATGTAAACAACATACCCACAATAAACCATCAAGATCCTGGCTTGACAGCCATATTTATTACAGAAATAAAACACAGGCATGTTAATGACATTTAAATTTCAAAACAATCAATGCCAATAAAGAAAACATTGATTTCCATGTTGGATTCTAAGTGGACTGCAAAAAAATGCCAAAATACAGGAATTGCAGATCTGGAAAATGAAAAATTATAATAATAATC